GATACAACCGATTCTCAGTGTGGTCCAACAAATACACCAGACACTTCCACATTTTAAGGGTTGAAATTTGTATCAAATATTTAAAATTTTGAACCTAAGAATTTAGATCAAAACGTCACCTTACATCTTGTGTTGATATTAATTTATGTACGTTAAATTTGAAGAATGAATTTTCCTCAAGAAGGACAAGCAAAGCCAATATACAAAAAACCTAGTGTTATCTGGAGGAAAACTAACAAGCAGCCCTCCAGTACTTAAAGGGGGCTTATAAAAGATGGGGACAGACTTTTTAGCAGGGCCTGTAGCGATAGGACAAGGGGTGATGGTTTTAAACTAACAGAGGGGAGATTTAGACTAGGGCTAAGGAAGAAATTTTTCACCATGAGGGTGGTGAAACCCTGGCCCAGGCTGCCCAGAGAGGTGGTCGATGCCCCATCCCTGGAACCATCCCAGGTCAGGCTGGACGGGGCTCCGAGCAACCTGATTGAGTTGAAGATGTCCCTGCTCATGGCAGGGGGGTTGGACTAGATGGCCTTGGAAGGTCCCTTCCAACCCAAACCATTCTGTGATTCTATGATTCTATGAAGTACTGGACAAATGAATTTGAGGGCCCAAAAACCTCTCAATATTGTGTACCAACCAACAGAGCGGCAGCACAACAAATCAGACCTGGAAGCCCACATACGCTGTCACAGCAGCGCAATGTCTCATTTAGGGGTTTAAGGTGTCATCACTCGACTGTCTGTAGTAACGTCCTGAATGGCAAACGCCAAGCTCTCAACACAACTGTAAAATGACAACTCTCCTTTCGCTCAGAAAAATTATGTAAAATTACTTTATGTAATGACAAGCCAGAAGATGCTTTCCTGAATCTGCTGATATGCAGATTTGCCTTTGTGCAAATTTGTGATTTTCATTAACTCAAATCCAGGCTGCAGACATTCAGTTCCACAACCAAGCAGTCGAAATGCAGCCAAACCCCCAATTCCTCGTCCTAAGTGTGGTGTCCTCCTGTAGCTGTATCGATTACCCTGACTTAAAAGACAGAATAGCAACGTACTTTCCTGTATCTATCAACAATAAAATGAACTATTCAAACTGAAAAATGTACGTGGAATTTGGCCAGGATCAAAGCAGATGATGCGATGTGAAGCTGAGGGCAGCCAAGTGATGGAGGAGACGGGCGATGGCCCGTCTGGAGGGCAGAGCTCCCTGCAGAGTCGATGAAGAGAGAGGCTCACGCCCTCAGCATCGCTCCCTGACACGCACACATTCTGCCTGCTCTGCCGTGGTCTGGGGAGTCGGCTGTCACATGCCAAAACCTCCTGTGCATGTTGCACTTCAGAGATGGCCAGTCAGGGTAGCTGGCCTTTTACAAATGTTACAGATGCCAAGACGTTCAAAACCAAGCATCCCTCCAGAAATCTCAGAAATTTGACTAATTTTTACAAGCAGCAAATAGAGCTATGGTACCTGGGAACCATGTCTGTGAACCCCTATGGGACATAACCTTCTCGGAGACAAATCCAGGTCAACTGGATATGGTAAATCTAAAGGTCACATTAACCTGCTTGGACAGTCCTAAGAAATACAGTGCCTCATTTCGGTGTTCTGCCATAACAAATAATTTACCTGGAAAGTCATGCCATTGCTGAGACCAACGGCTCAGCAGACCACTGAAGAGGATGAGACACCAAGAGGAGTCATCGACATCAGGCACCATAAACACTGTTCATTTTGCAAGGCATGAAATTGAATACTTTGTAAGGATGAAACTCAAAATACCACTACAGTTTGCTCTGTAGATCAGAGGGATTTCCCACTGAAGCAGTGGTCTGCAAACTGCCCCATGGAAAACAGAACTTGAGAAATCATTCACCTCAACACCATCGTATGCTTTCTGTTACCTCCAGCATTTACAGCTTCATGTGCTCCCAAACAACGCTGGAAGGTAGCACAGGCATTAATTACTGATAGGGCACAGGTTCTGAGCATTCTGCACTTTCGTAGGAAGGTTTAGAGTTTAATGACTAGGCATTTATTCGTCAACATCTTATCATCAACAAAAGCCCTGGATGAAGCTTAGTTATTTCCTTGTTAACGTGCTGCAATCCAGGAGCAGAATTAGTACATCAAATCACTGGAGTGGAAAATCATTTGTTTAGGCGTAAGGGTACCCTCCTAACGTGTATCCCAAAACTAAAGATATGAGGAAAGCAATGGGCACCGCATGCTGAGCAGTTACCCTTTACAGGTAGCATACATAGTGCTCGCTGCCAGATTTTGCAGAGACGAGCTCATCCGAGCAGACGGGAAGCAGCACCGCTTGCCCTGTGCTTAAAGAGGGCGATTCCATTGCCACCAACGCACCGGGCAGGCTGCCCAACAGCTGAGGGTGCCGAACACCCAGTAAACTTGCTAGCAATTCTGTTTTCTTCACCAAAAGATTTCAGAGGTCAATAAAATAAATAGTGATTTTTAAAGCGCAAATAAATTGCCCACTGAGTCTCGGATACTCAGTTGCAGGGTATCGTATGTTGCTCCCAGTGCTGAATAAGAGAAAATTATCCAGAACAGGAGCAGCAAAGTGGAACCTGCTCCTAACTTTTCAGCCTACTGCCACCGTTTACGGCACAGCTGGGGTCGAACCACAAACCAACAGGTTTGTTGATGGAGTATCAACAAGACGCTTGCTGACAAGCTAGTTTTTCTTATTTATCATGCAAACTGGCTTGTTCATATCAAAAAGTAATTATGTCTAAGTAACTAAGCGACTGTTACAGCAGATTGTATTGATTTTGCTGAGGAATTAGAAGAGATTGCTAGTTTTTCATCATTTACAATGCTTTATCATAGCATTGCGAATAGTCACTTCGCTTCCCAAGAATATTTACAGACCTATTCTTTCACTAGTCTTAAATAACAGCTATCCATAAACCTTGATGGAACCAAAACATGTTTCATACAGGATGCAATCACAACAAACTGTAGCGTTTAAGAAATTTATAAACTGAATTCAGCGCTTCTCCAACTAATTATGTTTACTTCACCAGTGATAATACAAGCTGTAAAGCTTCTCCCTGTGCCACGTGCAGATGGCTATCAAGGATGCCAGCTGATCAGAGATGTATTGAGAGGCACGGTATAATGACAAAACCACTTTTCACGCTTACTGTTAGCTATAATTTTCCTGCAACTCTCCTATTACTACAAAAAAAAAGATAATTGAAACTTATTGGTGACTTGACATTTATTCCATTTTGAAGTGACTGCATGCACAGCTATTTTTTTTAATTTTAGTTTTAGAAAAGGCACTGATATCTGAATTTGGATTTTCTTTTTCTGATCTTTTATCTTTTCGTAACTGTCAGGCATTGCATCTTTCTCACCACTCTCCCCAATCTCTCCTACATTAAATCTGAAAGTTTCTGTTCCACAGACCAGACTTTTTCTAAAGAAACCCTGAACTCTCTTCCTTACTCGATAAGGAGAACCCAAGTACCATTGAAGCCGTCCTTCCTTCCTTCCTTCCCGCAGGAGTTAAGCTACCAAAGGCTGGAAGCACTCGGCAGCCGTAAGGATGTGCTCGCCGTGTAAAAGCACACTGCCCCACCGCAAACAGCACCGCGCTCACGGGCGGTGCAGCTGTACTAACCGAGCTTCGTACCGGCGCGCTGAAACAATCATCAGTACAAGCACACAGAAGTACAGGTAGAAGTGCCTTTCAAACGGGCGGTTGTACTGGCACAGTGCTGTGGCTCGGGGGTCACACCGTTTTATGCGCCTGCCTGACAGAGCTGTTAAAGCAGAAGACAGTACTGAAGGTTTGGCCAGGGGAAAAGATCTTTTAAAGTGGCACAAATAGAAACAAAAATATTCAGAGTCCTTGCTAGCCTTGAGGGGAGTTAGAAACTTAACTGCTCTCTCTACTGTTGGAAAATCTCCAAACAATATTCTGGTTTTCCTTGTAGTAGTTACAGTAGTGCCCTGAATACTGCCTGGCTTCCAATTTATCAACCTGTGTTGTCATGTAGTTTACAGAGAAGAACTCCTCCATGCTCATGGCCAAAACACAGCCACTCCTACATTCTGTAGCTGTTCTGTACAAAGCTGTAGTTTAAAGGGTTTAAAAATAAGTTGCTTTATAAAGAATAACACAATCAAACCCCTACTAAAATATAGTGAGGCCTCTGTACTTGCAGCTCTTCGTTTGTAGATTGTTCATCAAGTGACAAGCAATAAACAGAAGTGAAGTTTAAAATCAAAAATACTGAACTTTCACTGTGCTATACTTACCCTGATCAACAAATTCAACTGCGTACATCAAATAATAGATCAGTAATTTCAGAAGGCTATTCTTAAAAATGTTAAATGCATTTGTCTGAGATTGCCAAGAACAGTAACTGAATGTCCTCAGCCTTGTCATTAAAATATAAGGATTTCCATAACAGAATGAATGCTCAAGATTTACTACAGCTGAAAACTACTAGTAAAGTCACAGGCTGAACTAGAATGGGAAATGAAATGTGACCTGTAAAACTGATATTCCCTTTAGGGCAGAATTAGGAATGCTGGCCAGAGAGCTAATAGCCACTTTGCATTTCGACACTGACTCTTCTCGTCCCATCAAGAGATTTCAGTTTGAAGTGAGATTTCAAACACAATTAAGAGACATGAAACATGAAGCAAAATGGGAACAGGAAGTTTATCCATTAATATAATTTTTACAGTGTTCATCAACTATGCTACAGCAGGAAATCCTACAACATCAAGATGCACTGAAAAATGGGAGAACAGACTGATGCTTATAATAATGTTCCCCACTACATCGGATGGAAAACTATCACAGATCACATTCTTACTTAAGAAACACAGACCCCAACTGTCCAGAGAACATACTACAAAACCAGTTATCTAAACAATCTTACCCTCCTTCCAGAAAAATAGACTCTGTCTGTCCAGAGAACATAGTATAAAAACAGTGATCTAAACAATCTTACCCTCTTTCCCATCAACAGGTTTTGATACTTCCATATCAAAGCTCTCTTGCAGCTGCTGGCCTTTGAAGCGGTTGAGGTGCTCCTGTTCTATTAGGTTACTTTCCTCCTCTTCCAGAGGTTGCCATGTACCATCAATAAACCACTGTCCACGCATTACAGGGATCTTTTCTGTTTCTGGAAATCAAACAAGAGATTTTTTTTATTTTTTTTTAATGCAACAAATCACAAACTGACAGCAGATAAGAGGGAAAGGGAATTCTGTTTGGAGTTTTGATGAAAAAGTTACACCCCCTCTGCTGGGACCCCTAACAAGGTAACACAAATGCCTCGAGAAATACCACCACCTTTTCCCGTGGGACTGAAACGAGTAGTGAAAGTCGCGCTAATCTGCTAAAGGCCAAGTTTTTAGAGTGTGTGTGAGGATGTGAGATGGACAGAAAGATGCAGATTCTGCAAAATTTATTAAGGATAAACAACAGGACAACTTTAATGAGATATACTCCTCCCTATCCAGTTGCCTTGTATTTTCAAAAATTTAGGAATTTTATGAGACTCATCCTCCTCTCTAAAGTTGGACTGATAACAGCCATTTGCTTCAAAGATATCAAGAGGATGCAGAATGAGGAGGAGAGACAAAACCACTCACGCTTACCCTGACTGCACAGAGTCTTTTCCTTTGGGAATCGCATTTACAATAACCCAAATTACACATCACTTTGCATAAAGGGTAGTTTTAAAGAGGAAAGTTATTCTTCTATTGAAATGTCTTTCAGTGAGGGCTGTTTTCAGTGACTGCCATTCTAGTTTCAGTTTCAGTGCTCCAAATGAGGAAGCTGGGTGCCCAGCATTTGCTGTCCACGTGACAAAAGAGAAGTCTACGAGAAATGTATCCTGGCACTTATTCTTCGTCAAACTGCGCTTGATGCTCACATTAACTACTGGGCTGCAGGGAGCAAGACTCCTCCTCTTATACAGACCCCCGCAAGCAAGCTGAGACAATAATATCCCTTGTAGCTCAGCTCAGAATTTCTCCTCCTCCATCTGGAAAATCAAGGAGAAATACTGTGTGTGCCTGTGCTCCACAAGCCTGTAAGACCCCAACCTCCGGCCTCACGGGACCGGCACAGATACAGCTCTGCTGAGAGCCCACAGCCATCAGACCACTCACCTCCAGTGCACGCTAATGTGCACTGCTGTGTACTGCCCACATATAGAGACTCAGCCAAATGCAAACACTCGGTGTGTGCGTGCGCACTAACCACATGAGCTTAGCTCTCCAAAGCAGCCAAGAACTCAACCGCAAAAGCTTGAGTTCAATCAAAAAAGGAGATGCGGAAAAAATAGGCTTTACTACTCAAAGATCTGTTCCTAGACCTCTGGAGCCCTCGGCACAGGAGAGACACGGACCTGCTGGAGCGGGGCCAGAGGAGGCCCCAGCAACGCTCCGAGGGCTGGAACAGCTCTGCTGGGAGGACAGGCTGGGAGAGCTGGGGGGGCTCAGCCTGGAGCAGAGAAGGCTCCAGGGAGACCTTCCTGCAGCGGCCAGGACTTAAAGGGGGCTTAGAAGAAAGATGGGGACAGACTTTTTAGCAGGGCCTGTAGCGATAGGACAAGGGGTAACGGTTTTAAACTAAAAGAGGGCAGATTCAGACTAGATCTAAGGAAGAAGTTTTTCACAGTGAGGGTGGTGGAACCCTGGCCCAGGTTGCCCAGAGAGGTGGTAGATGCCCCATCCCTGGTCAGGTTGGACGGGGCTCTGAGCAACCTGCTCTAGTTGAAGATGTCCCTGCTCATGGCAGGGGGTTGGACTAGGTGGCCTCTAAAGGTCCCTTCCAACCCAAACCACTCTCTGATTCAGCAAGGAAAGGTGAAGAGCAGGAAAGCTTGAGGCAGGGGAGGAAGCAGATGCTGGAGGCAGATCATCTGGAGCAAGGAGCCCAGATGACCACTGAACTTCCCTCACTTAGGCACACGTGTTCCCCGTTACCCAAGCATTCCAGTGACTGGGAAACCTGCAGGCACCCCTATAAAACAGCCCCTCTGTGCACACGTGGCACAACAGAGTGAATTTCCCAGAACAGTGGCTCTGAGTGCCGCCAGCCTCAAATTCCCACATATCCCAGTTTGGCAGACATGGGGCATGCTGGTTCGTCCACCCCAAGTCCCGCACTACCCTGTTCAAACTCTCTGACCTTCCTGCATCATCACCTCTGCCTATCTATACACTACAGATGACTCCGGTCTCGCTGGCCTGACCGAAACGCAGGCAGAAGTCGTGCAAGACCCAGTTACGCCATTGAGCTTCTGTTCGCACTGCTAAAATAGCTACTCCAAACAGGAGTCAGCTGTTACACACGGCATTTCTAACGTTTCCTATGCTGGTGATCCATCAGATGAATAAAGAGGTTGGGGCGTTCAAAGGGCACGGTTATTTAACGAAAATTAATCCACACATATCAGAAGAACAAAAGACCCGAGTGCCTTTAAACTGCAGAAGTTAACAGTTACTACGAACAACATAGAAAATTCAATTGTCTATGAAAATTCAAACTGATTTTGGAGTCTACATCCCATCAATGAAGTGTGAAACATGAGTATTTGGTTTTCTTGAAATTAAAGTTAACCACAGGAATGTTAGTTGTCACCACATACAGTAGCTTCTCATCATGCACGTGTCTTAACCTTCGCTGTATTCCCCTGCATTTTACACCTGTCAGATAGCTGCATTTTTCGGTAGAGCTAATGCACACAGATCCAGTTAGGCTGCCCTTACAAACAAAGCCCTGTCTGTAGGCAAAAATGAAATGCACGTAATACAAGAGCGTAGATAAAGGATCCCATTGTTGCTGAAGCAATGACACGACTACGTCAGATGTTAATCCTCAGTGGGAAAATCTGTAAGCAAGACCTTAATTCTTGACTATGCATTCTGTTGAGGCTCCATTCATTGATTTAAAAAAAATAAAACTAATAATCATATAAATACTATTTTGTACTCCAAACCAAACGAATATGAGACACCTCTTTTTCAGTTTTGAAGGGTTTTAAGTTTTTCACATGGAAATGTCCACCTACAGAGTTCTAAAATTCTAAACATAAAGCATTAAAATAAACATTTTCAGGCTCTTTTTGCCTGTGATAAACTTTCCCATAGTGGTTCTTTACAAGAGTAGACTGTAGCACTCAACAGCAGCTCTCAAACGTAAGATGGGCAGTGCCTTTTCCAGACAGGCTCAGCCAGGAAAAATTGGCATGTTTAAAGTAAGAAAAATGTTATTGTAAAATCTTTACACCACAGTTAAATTTGGGAATAAACTAATATATTTGGCTCTGGAAAGGGCATTTATATGGAAATATAAATCACTTTCAGATCAAAAGACAGATTATTATGGAGCTTTGTTCTCAGACTAGGGCTTTACAACCCGAGCAAGGTAATTTTGTTTTCCAAAGTTCAGTTTTAGAGGGACTTTGTTTTGGTGCATTTGTTTGGTGCCACTTTGGTTTGTTGCATTGTTTGTTTTGGTGTTGTTTTTTTTTTCCTTTTCCCCTCCTTTAAACCATTGCACACTATGCGTGCAGCCACAGCACCCTGAACTACAAGCTTGTCTTATTTTGCATCGCCAGCTAGACGGCAGGTTTGATCTGCGCTACTGGGAAACCTCAAGAGAAAACCTCCTGGCAGAGGAAGTGAGTAAATGACATTTCCTTCCATCAGAGGCATGGTTTGGTTTTAAGAAAACTGAACGCTGTCTTTCAGAAATGAAACAACCAAATTTGTGATCACAGCCGACGCTTGGTAAAGTGGGAAAAACCAACTTCCCATTAACGTCTGTGTTAGTGGGAACAGCGATGGCTATAATATCATAAGGATGTAATGCTGGATTTTGGTCCAGGTCAAAGTCTAACTCCAATCCCGACGATGAAGATGACCTACTGATGCTAAAAGTCACCAGCTCCAAAAGGAAGGAGCATTTTGGCTACGAAAAAAAGAGAAGTATATAAATGTAGTTACACTGGATACTCTGGATTGGGTGGGGAAACGAGGTGACTGCAACACAAGAGGAGACTTTTCAGTATAATCTGTGGACTGTGGGACAGAGCAAAGGCATCCCTTCATAAACACAATTCTTCTGTTTAATCTTGGACAGGTGCTGTTATTCATCCAGAGAACTTGATGCAACCTAATCACCATTAAAACGTGAAGAACCAAAATTCCCATTTTAGCACCCAATTTCACTCACTCCTATCCACCTTCAATAAAATCATTCATGTCTTGGATATTTAGATGGTTTTAGAAAGCTTAAACTACATTCTTTACGTTATTTTTGTTTTAAGAGAGAATAAAATACACAGATATTTACATCATGTTGTAATTTAACTTTTTTTTTTGCCAATACAGAATTCCAAATCTATAATATGAAGTGTTATTTATCTTTGTCTCTACAATCTTGATCCCTAGGAAAGGATTTGCCTTGATTTCTTTCCTGCCTTAAGTCTTAGACCATATAATCTGCAGTTGGCAGTGCTTCAAACTGAAAGATACCAATATATTTGGCTGGTTATACAGTCGCATGGTTTATTTATACAAGAATTTCTAAATAAATTTGAATGGCAGGTATTACAAGCTGATGAAAGGCACTTTATTTTAATTAGTCATACATTTTAGAGGAAAATAGTTTGAGAGATATAAACTGCAACAAAGGCTTTATTTATTTTCACACAAAAAAAGGTCTTTTTTCCTGAAAACCCAGAGAGTAGAAGAATACAAGTGCTGTAATTAATGATGTGATGGGACCAAGAACATGGGCGATTTGTGTTATGAGAACCACCTAAATCCTCTGAATAACAAAAATTATGTTAAAATAAAAACTGTATGCAACATAGAGTACACACATGTGCAGTAAATTATATATATATAAACATATGTGTGTGTATATATATACACACACACACCAGCTACTCTTTTTTTGGTGAATGTCTTTAAACTGTGTGATCACATCCAATATAAACTGCATGAAAAAGCTAACTAATCCATCAGAACACGGTACGAAAAGTAATAATTGAGCAGAATTTGCCTCCATTTTTCTTCTTGTAGTACTACATGAACACTTGAATTTGTTTCCTGCCACCACATGAGTTGAAACTGCGTATACTTAAATTGAAATATTGTCCAG